TTTGAGTGTTTTTTTTTTTTTTTTGGGTTAAAATTTATAAAAAGACAAATATGTCAAAATAATTAATAAAATAAAATATCACATCAAATTTGTAATAATTTTATTTTTTCTCTCATAAATATCATATCTAATTATAAAAAAAATTTAATTATCATCTCAAACACAAAAATTTTAACTTAAATTTTAACTTAGCCTCCGTTTGGGAAGTGGGTTAGTTTTTTGACTTTTTGACTTTTTTGTTATTTTAACCTGGGGCTAAAATGCCTGATTTGGAAAGAACTTTTTAACTTTTTTTATGAGAGAGAAGTGTAATGATTATAGATTAGATTTGATGTTTTATTTTTTGTGACTAAAATAACTTATTTTATTTTTTGTGACTATTTTAACCCCTAAATCACCCAAACCAACTTTCCAAACTATGCCTTAACAACCTACTAAAGTAGCGAACCTCTCAAACACCCACATTATTGCCAGAGAAGACAAGGTGTTCCGTGTTCCAATAATAGACATGAGAGTGGGCATTATAATGAAAATCTCATTTCAGTAGCCAAAGAAAGAAGAAAGAAAGATCCCCACATCTAAATAGTAAAAAGCTCTTTGAAAAAAATGTTCTTTTCGTCAATCAACAGTGTTGAAGGACTAGAAAGTAAAATATTTGCTCCTGCCACGGTGAAGAAGGATCAGACTTTGAAACTAGGTAACAGTACAGAGCCATGTTTATATCTACTCCTAGGAAGTTTTTTTGACACAAACTTAGTAATAATGTTATGATTGTTCCTGGAATAAACATCTATCCATGTACAATGAATCAGAGATATTCTCTAATCTTAATTACAAAACAAAAATGGAAATGAATTTTTTATTATTTTTATTCTGGAATTGATATCAGAGTTTTGTGAAATTTTTTTGAAAATAAGATTAAGTTATGTAAATATTTCTATCTATGTATAAATTTTTGATATATATATATAAGTTTGTATGGTATGTTTTATGTAAAAAATAAAAATAAAAATAAATTATTTTAAAAATTTCGTCTAAGTTTTTTGTGTATCCTTTATATTTTATATCTTTATAATTATTTGTTTCATTTATAGTTGTTATAAAACCTATATACTTAGTGCATGTCAAAGCCCATGTACTCATTAAGATCTTTTGACTATTGGCCATAATTAAGTCTTTAAGATCATAAAGAGAGGTTTTAGGCACCAGATAATACATTAGGAGGGTCTTAAGTACCAACAACAATCTAAAATGACAAATGACAATTAATTCTGACGATATAATATGCTTTGAAAATACAAAAAATAATATTAATAATAAATATGATCATAGTTTGCATATTACTAAAGAGTCTGCAAATATAAATAGTGTGTGTTCTAGTTTAAATAATATTACTGATATTATGTGTTCTTGGTTTTCCAAATTAAATAAAAATTAAAAAAATAAATCAAAATTATCTAGAGACTAAAGTTGAGTCTATAGAATCTAAATAGACAATTTGGGTTCTATAATAAATATTGACTTAAATAAAGAAGCAAAAAATCAAATAAACAATTTGGTGACAAAATTAGAAATTATATCCTTCATAAACAATGATGGAATGAATAATACAGGAGATAGTGACATCCCTAGGCTATTTTATGGTACAGAAGATATTATGGTACTTCAAATCAATACCTATAATATAACTGAATATGAAAATGTTGTTGAAATATTAGATTATTGGAGAAAATTATATAAAGACCCAGATTTAGGTATTGATGAAAGAAATAGGTTACTAGATCAGATAAGAAAAACTTATCTAGAAAATGAAACTCTTTTACAACACTTTAATTATGATATTAATATGTCAACTAATGATGATGACAGCCAATCATCCTCATCTGAAGAGACAATAGATCAAGATATTTCATCAGAAATAAATAAAGGGAAAAGAAAGGTAAAAGAGCCTATTGATCCCGAATTATTTGGCACATGGGGAGATGGAGAAAATTTTGACTTTATTCAAACAAATGAAGTTAAAAATGATACTAACATTGGAAGTACCTCCAATCCTATACCTGAGCCAGTAATATCTAGAAAAGATAATAATCATAAATATCCAATAGCTCAAAATGGTACTTATTTAGACTTGTCTCATGTTCCATTTAAGAATCAACCACAAGCAATAGATGATTGGGCACAATCATTGTCCATCATTATTACCAATTATAAAAATAGTTGGTCAAAGGAAAAATTTCTTGATTACATTGCAACAACTCTCCGGAGAGATGTGCTGCAATAGTTAAGACAGTGAGAAAAATTTTAAATTGGAAAAAGTCAAAAAACGGCTTTGTTAACAAATTTTCTCACACTTGACACAATTTTAGCTGAATTTGCAAAAATCATAAAAGAAAATTTATATGATTTTGCAGGAGATACTAATTTACAAGCAGATGCAAATTATATTTTGACTAAATTAGATTTATGTAATATTTGTCTTTTTGAGGACTATGTTCAAACTTTTAAAAAATATTATTATCTTATTGATCCATCAGCAAATCAACCTTGGTAAAATCAATTTTTTCATAAACTCCCTAATCTATGAGATGAGTTATGTGTTAAAACATATCATGATTTTCTCAAAAAAATTGGGAAGGAAGAATATGATAATCTTGATTTTCGCATAAATTATGTTCTAAGACTGATAGCAGATCGGTGTCTAGAAGCAAATGTGAAAAAACAAATAAAAAATCAAATTTCCAACTCACAATACGGTCAAAAATGTTGTGATCAAATTTTAAAAGAAAATTAGAAAATTGGTTGTAATACATTTCTTAAAAGAAAAGGATTTTCCAAAAAACATAGAAAATATAAATAGAAACCTTAAAAAAAGAATAAAACTTTTTCAAAAAAGAAAAAGTATATTCGAAAAAAGAAACCAACAAGTGTTTCAAAAAAGAAAACTTGTAAATGTTACATTTATAACGAAGAAGGTCACTATGCACCCGAATACCCAAAAAGGAAAAAAAATGCAAAGAAAATGATCAAAATCCTTAAAGAACAAGATTTTGAAATAACATATGGAGAAGAAATTTCTGATGAAAAAGAAATCTTATATGAAATTTCTAGTGATGAAGAAAGTTCAGATGAAGAACTAATCTTTATGATGACTAATAATAGTCAGGAAATATCTCAAGAAGCAAATAGCATATTTCAAGAAGAATTACAGGCAATTCGACTTGGAGATGTAATCGGAGAAGAAAAAACTTTTACCGACGAAGAATTAACAAAATTTGAAAAAATGCAAGAAGTTGCTATTCCAGAAATTTACAAACTTTCAAAATTTAACTTCTTTTTAACAAGAGTGTTTGAACAATACAGTGGTAACACTCAAGCAAAATAGTCAGAAGAAGGAAATATTGATATTCCTTTTTTTGATAAGAAAAATGTTGCAAGATGGAAAAAAAAAAATTCTGAAATTCAATATATTCATATTGGATTAATTCAAATAACCATAACAGCCTTATTTCGCCATGGGATAGATACTCCTATTTTGGCAATAATTTTTGACAAAAAACTTTCCGACTCAATGAAAGCAATCATTGGAGGAATTCAGTCTAATTTGACTAATGGAGTAGTTTGGTTTAATGTTAGACCAAAGTTCTTTATTTCCATAAATGATCTTAATCTTGAAGATACAGTTAGAATAAGAATTAAAACACAATGATTAGGAATGCAAGCAAATTCTCATGATTTGGCTATTCGTTGGAAAACAATTCACGAATTAACCAAATTTCCTGAAACAAAAACAAAATCAAATGATAATAAAATCGTTGAAATCTTTGAACCAAGACTATTTGACACGGAAATACAACCTCGTTTAATGAATTGGAGCGATTTAGAAGTCCTTCGACAATGGTTAATCCAAGACCTAGTGGGTCAAGGAGAATCTTCTAAAACAAAAAAACCTGCACAATTACAAATGCAGGTATCAGGAAAAAATTTATATATTGAAAATACAGTTCCAAAAATTAAAAGATCAACTTCTGTATTTGAAAAGGATTTTCCTAACAAATCATTTTCAAAGTTAAGCATTGAAGAATCAAGTAATAATTCTAATCAAGAATCTATTACTTCAAACAATGTTCAAATTCCTGTTTTTCCAAGAACAAGAAAACTTGAACATATTAAGTCTGCATATATACATCATTTTCAAACAAAAAATGATGAAATTATTTTTTCTCCTAGCCAAGGAAAAAGAAGGTACACGTATGTATTGGGAACATTTATGCCTTGCTTGGTTTGTATTTGAGAAACATGTTTTGAGATAAAAAGTACGAAAATTTATTTGGTTTAACTTTTTTTCAAAAGATGTTTTGAAAAATTATTTTGAGATAGAGTTTTGAAAAAAGTGATTGATTTGATGTGTATGAGAGAGATTTGTTTGGAAAATTTGTAAACCAAACAAGTTTTGGAAAAAAAAATTAGAAAAATTTGTTTGATTTGATTACTTTTGAAAACTTATTTGTAGAGAATTTTTTCCAAAATTTTTTAAGAAACACAAACCAAACAAGGCCTTAATTTTGCAGGTTATAAACCCTATACCCTCAGTGTTCTCATAGATACAGGAGCTACAGTCAGCTCATGTAAATGGAATGCTATACCAAAAGGAAAATGGTCACTAATGAAGCATCCAATTTTGGTTACTAGAATTGATGGCAACCATACTTCCATACAATTCAAGGCTAAAAATATAGCTATTTGGTTAAATGATAGCAAGTTCATTATACCAAAAATTTTATGTTTTCCGTATATGCATGGAGATTTCCTTCTTGGCAATAATTTTATATATAAATACCTTCCAATGCAAAAATGGACATCAATGAAATAGCCTTTTCCTGTATTTGCATTGGAAGGTATTTATATATAAAATTATTGCCAAGAAGGAAATCTCCATGCATATACGGAAAACATAAAATTTTTGGTATAAATCATTGGAGGAATTCAGTCTAATTTGGCTAATGGAGTAGTTTGGTTTAATGTTAGACCAAATTTCTTTATTTCCATAAATGATCCTAATCTTGAAGATACAGTTAGAATAAGAATTAAAGCACAAGGATTAGGAATGCAAGCAAATTCTCATGATTTGGCTATTCGTTGGAAAACAATTCACGAATTAACCAAATTTCCTGAAACAAAAACAAAATCAAACGATAATAAAATCGTTGAAATCTTTGAACCAAGACTATTTGACACGGAAATACAACCTCGTTTAATGAATTGGAGCGATTTAAAAGTCCTTCGACAATGGTTAATCCAAGACCTAGTGGGACAAGGAGAATCTTCTAAAACAAAAAAACCTGCACAATTACAAATGCAGGTATCAGGAAAAAATTTATATATTGAAAATACAGTTCCAAAAATTAAAAGATCAACTTCTGTATTTGAAAAGGATTTTCCTAACAAATAATTTTCAAAGTTAAGCATTGAAGAATCAAGTAATAATTCTAATCAAGAATCTATTACTTCAAACAATGTTCAAATTCCTATTTTTCCAAGAACAAGAAAACTTGAACATATTAAGTCTGCATATATGTATCATTTTCAAACAAAAAATGATGATATTATTTTTTCTCCTAACCAAGGAAAAAGAAGGTACACGTATGTATTGGGAACATTTAGGCCTTGTTTGATTTGTATTTGAGAAACATGTTTTGAGATAAAAAGTACCAAAATTTATTTGGTTTAACTTTTTTTCAAAAGATGTTTTGAAAAATTGTTTTGAGATAGAGTTTTGAAAAAATTGATTGATTTGATGTGTATGAGAGAGATTTGTTTGGAAAATTTGTAAACCAAACAAGTTTTGGAAAAAAAATTTAGAAAAATTTGTTTGATTTGATTACTTTTGAAAACTTATTTGTAGAGAATTTTTTCCAAAATTTTTTAAGAAACACAAACCAAACAAGGCCTTAATTTTGCAGGTTATAAACCCTATACCCTCAGTGTTCTCATAGATACAGGAGCTACAGTCAGCTCATGTAAATGGAATGCTATACCAAAAGGAAAATGGTCACTAATGAAGCATCCAATTTTGGTTACTAGAATTGATGGCAACCATACTTCCATACAATTCAAGGCTAAAAATATAGCTATTTGGTTAAATGATAGCAAGTCCATTATACCAAAAATTTTATGTTTTCCGTATATGCATGGAGATTTCCTTCTTGGCAATAATTTTATATGTAAATATCTTCCAATGCAAATACAGAAAAAAAACTATTTCATTAAGTATAAATAACTTCATATTCCCTTGTTAATGTCAATGAACTCGGGCTGATTTGGTCGAAGAAGAGGTGAGAAAAGGATCAGCACCAAATTAAAAATAGAAACAACCAAATAGAAATAAGTAATAATGACTTGAGAAATGAGAAAAGCTCCACCAACCAAGAATCCATCCACATCTGGCTGTGCAGCAAGTTCCTTGCAATTTGCTCCATTCACAGAACCTGAACATTAACATGATTAACACGAGAGAGAGAGAGAGAGAGAGAGAGAGACCACTTTCTTCGTTTTTTGAATTGTGGAGGGCAGTGGAATTAGCCAACTTATTATTGCATACATACTGCCCGCTGAACCCTAATGTCTGGGATCCTTAATTTATGGATGGGAACTTCCATCACTTAGCTGACACCCAATAAACCAAACCCGATTCAACCTGGATGAGTACTGTTATCACAGGACCATAGTCCAGGCTTCAACTATCAATATCAAAAACCAACTAAACTCAACTCAATTTTAAGCATGTTCCAGAGTGAACCATCCTAACCCCAAGAATCAAACCATTGTTAGTGCACACACGAAAGGGTTTCTTTCAGGCTGAGCAACATGTTTATGAAGACTACACATTCGAAAAGCAAATCTAATCCTAATCAACTCAATTTACATTGACTAGATTTGTATTGGTTTCTTAGGACCATTAATTTAGCCATGAAAAAAAGAAGAAAAAAGAAGTGTGCCTTCATGAACAAGTTAAAGGAGTTGCACCCCACCAAATTAGTTTTCTGCATGTTTGACTCAATAACAAGAGCATAAACCCATATATAAACAACCACCCACTGAGGGATGGTTCCTCAAACAATATAAATGAATAAGGAAATAAATGAAAGACAATAAATTCCTCTGAATGTTTTTGCCACCTAGTAGAGCTGCAAATGAACCGAGTTGTTCATGAACAAGTTTGACTCGGCTCATTTAGTAAACGAGCCGAGCTCGAGCTCGAATAATCTCAACCCGTTTATCTTTATTTAAATTATATAATAAATATATTATTTATATATTAAATAAGATATAAATATATAAAAATAATATTTTTTATTTAAATAATATAAATAATGTTAAAAAAAATCTTATCGAGCAGAACAGAGCTCAACTCAAGTTTCATTAATATTAACGAGCCGAGCCAAGCCGAGCCGAGCTCGAGCCCAGTTACTTATCAACCCAACTCAAGCTCAATAAACAAGCTCGAGCTCAATAAAAATCGGCTCGACTCGGCTCGTTTGTAGCACTACCACCAAGGCAGGATGGTTTGGCTCTAAGTTGCATCATTATGGTAAAACAACAGTTACTACCAATTCATAAGGCAGTTATGAACTTCTACCATGAATCATGCCAACAGATGGAAGAGCATCTCCAACACTGCTAGCTACAAAAGTACACTATAAAATAGAGAGCCACTTTTTCATCATGTAGGTACTCCAACAGATCTCTAAGCTAGCTATTGGAACTAACAACTAGATTTTAAAAAAGATAAATGCTACTTGGCAAAAAATCAAAATTTGGTATTTGTGCACAAATTAACATGAATATTGATGTGTGTGGCGATGCCACACCAACATCCTGACATGGCATGCCATATCCTAAAAAAGTAGGTAAACTAACATGGCATGATGGTGTGGCGAAGTGATAGGAAACGAGAGTGGGATTTAGTGAGCAATAAAAGAATTCTTGAGAAGATAGTGGTGAAGCGCAAGTTTAATATTGCCATTGGCAAATTCTGTACATTTTAGAGAGCCTTAAAAAACCTTAGTAAATGTAGCGAGCGAGAATGGGGTGAGGTAAAATGGCTACCTTGATGGAAAGCTGAATCAGACGGAGGTTAGCCCAGCCTAGCTTAGCCTGTTGGAGGTGCTTTAACATATTTCCGTGATTGGTGGAAGACTTATGCAACCTTATTTCCTAACATCTTGATATTGAAAAAGGCCTTCCATTAGTAAATTAACTTGCTCCAAAATAGATGATATAAAATTGCTAGTTTACATTTAGTATATACTAGAAGTGCCCCCAGACACTAGTGTATGCATTTTACTATAACTAAATTATCCCTATTCTCCCACTAACTCCCTCATTCTACAGTTATTCACTATTTAAATTCTTCTAAAACTAAAATGCTATACAATTTTACCAACAAAATAGAGAGAAAAAATGAGAGTTTCATAACCTAATCAATAGTTGTGTACTGTTCCGATTGTGTGTGAATTGGTTTTTTTCAAAAAGACATTTTACTGCTTTACATTTATCATAAAAAGAAGAGAAGGAACAACACGTTATTCCTGTGAGTAGTTTAGGCATGTAAAACATGTGACAAAGCTTAAAAAAAATGTTCACCCCTAATTGGGGTGTTGACATTATATAATAGCATAGATAAAAAAGCAAAAGAACAGAAACAAGCATTGGATAAACAAATTGATGGCAAAAATGGAGAAATACCCCCATAGATAATTCGGGTTGATGCAGCAACTTCAGCACCAACATTTTCTTGAAGCCAATTCCTCAATTCAAAATGGACCTGGCACAAACATACACCGTTTGCTATGAATAGATTATATCAAAGAATTACCTGATGCATCACAATACTAATAAAATGAACTAACAAGAATCCAATAACGGATAAATGAAACAGTATATATAAGTATTTAATATGGATGCAATAAAATAGGATTGCTTAGCAACAAGAATGGAGAAGTGGATGAGCACATTCAAGAGGGGATCACTTCCATTTGATGGAGGACATAAAGCTGCTATTAAGCTGTCAAAATGGTCAGGAAGGTTACCTCAGTACATTGGTAAACAGTATAGAGGAAGGTTCCTTGTTCCTAGCCTGAAGTTTTTTTACTTGTAGGTGTCAAATTGCACAAGCAAAGCTAGGTAATGGCCCATCTAGTAGCCTAGTTGACACTTGCCATGGTGAAACGTGATGTATAACAGATTCAGACACACATCTGTTGCTATGTACTCATTCGAAGCAAGTTGGTGATAGAACTCTTTTGCTATGGATAATAAATCAAAGAATCAATTTCAGTCCAGTCATAAATTGGTGGAAAACCCAAAAAAGAAGAAACAACTATAATCAACATATGACAAGAATAAATATCAAAAGCAACAAGTCCTTTTAACCATTTCTATCTGGAAGCCCAAAAATAATCTCAATTGACCTAAATCAAGTTATATCAATGTGCACATCGCCCACATTGTAATAGCAGCAGCCAATAACACTGGATCCATCACAAATATTTACAGATAACTTCAAATTGATAAGATAGAAACCACTTCAAATTCAGGATTGAATTTTCACTTCACTGTTGAAGAAAAGGAGTTCCCTTAACCATAAAGCAAAAATTCTGACATTGTTACTGCTCTCTAAACTAACTCCAAAATGGCATCTCATGGTTTACTAAACGTGCTAAACTAGAAAGTGCTTGCTTTGCTTGTTTAAGGATCCCTGTTTATAAAACACTGAACTTGTGAAGGTGTATGGAGTTTTGTTTATTTTGTTTTTTGGTTCTCTTTCGTACACAGGTGGGTGACAGTCCCCTTAATAAAACATTGAACTCAACAACCACGACAAGAGGGAACTTAATTCCTGAGCCTGAGCAGGGGTTGCAACCTTTCCGGTTCCAATGGCCCAGACCGGTTCGTAAGCAATAACAACATTAGACCAGTGTGATGTTTATCTGCAAGAGAACAGTTGAAAACTATTAATACATTGTCAAATAATATAAAACTGCAATATCTTGAACCAGCATAACTAAAAAAACTTCTAGTTCTCAGTGTATAATGGTCAAATAATGGTTGTGATTGCTATAACGGCAACAGTGGCATTAATGCGGTCACAGAGTGTAACAAGTGTAGTGTAACGGTTGTAGCAATCAAAGCCGTGAAATTTTAAATTTTCCACACAACTTTGTCAAACATAACGATAGACATTTTTTTAAATTTCTAAATCACATTTGTTGTGGCTTAAAATGGTTTTTTTTTGGAGAATTTATTATAATTTTTTAAACATGATTCAATAGATGTACTAGATTTTAGATTCCTTTTAAGTCACAAAGAGAATTTGACATATTTTTATTTCAATATGTAATAATTTCATGTGTCATAACTTCATAATGCACCAATTTGCTGTCATTTATTTTGTTATTAATAATTATAGAAAATTTTGCAATAAATGGATTTGAGTATCATTGTTTTATTTTATTAAACAAATAATTTTTATCTTCAAGTTATACAAGAAACACAATTTACAAGTTACAACTACATATAAAAATTAGGTTCGATCTTCAATGTCAAGTGAATAAATAAAAACAGAAGCTCAAAGAGGAGAAAACAAGCAAAAAATTGACTTTTAAATGTAGCAGACATCATTGCCAGCCACTGTTACGTAACAGCCATAACAGTTTTGTAATGGCACATTAGGGGCATTATGTAACAGTGATGGCTGTTACATCTGTGAAATTCAATTCCATCACTATAGCAGCCGTCAGGTGGCATGGCAGTGACAACCCATACGGTTATGTAAAGGTTGTGGCACATTTTTACAACTATGATAATGGTATAGAATAGATAATGGCAGTGGTAGGAACAGCTCTAGAACCTAAATTAAGAAAGGCACCAGACTACTAGATAAATGTGCCATTTGCTTTCTGGACAATAGAGAACTAGAACTATGTACCTGCGATTGCATTTGTTTGCGCAGCAACTACAGACATTGTAGACCCTGATTCCCGCTGCTCAATGGTCTCCCCAACACAAGCAATTACTTTCAAGCCTTTTGAAAGTGCATATGCAACTTTATCTCCAACGAACTGCATTGAAATCCCCAAAGAACAGATTGTAAGAAATAGATGGTACATGACATGATATATATGTAAGCTATAGTCATGTGATACAGCTTTTCTAATATATAGTACACTTGGCTCTACAACAAAGGTTACCTCATTCGATTCATTTAATATAAGTCGTCTCTCAGAATGGCCAAGAATGACCCAAGGAATGCCCAAATTGACAAGCATATCAGCACTGCCCAACAAGAGAAATCAGATAAAACAAGGAAAAATAATTAAAACTGACGAACTTCCTATAGAAGAAAGCTTAAACTTCAACTCAAAATTAAAGGAAATACTGCTACATGAATCTTCTAGTAATTAACAAAGATGACAATGACCACATGGGCGGAATAAGAATGGTTCTCCTCAGTAACCATTTCAATATTTATCACAAAGAATATCAATCTATACAGTGGAAAAACAATGATTCCAATGAACTAGATAAAATGATCAGATCATAACATACCTAACCTCACCAGTAAAAGCACCCCCATTCTGAACCCAACAGTTTTGTGCGGCAATCAGGAAATCAGACCGCAATAAACTCTTTACAATAGGAAGAAACACAAATGGAGGGCTAATCACAACCTCTGCAAGCAAAGCACGTCCAAACCATATCAACATCTTGAAGATATATAACAACAAACTGCAATAAATATATAGCTACACGCCGGATACAGTGTGCATATTTTGATAATAATCATATGACTTGAACTTTTAAAGAATTTTTTTCAGATAAATAACAAATCTTTAACGAAGAAATGTTATCACTGAATCAATGCAAGCTTACAAAAGTACAAGGAAGCTCCCATTATTAAGTTTATACAATAATTAAGAGCTAATATAGAAGCATGCTACAGGAGATAAGATATGCAGGCATAGAAAACTTGCAATAAAGAGATCGCACCCCAGTTTATATCCATTGATTAGTTTATAGCCTTTATTGTATGTTTTATACATTCAAAATGAAGATTTAATATGAGTACACACTACACAATTACTAGTATGCATAAATGGGTGCTGGTTAGGTCAGGCTGCTGATGCCTCAAGGGAAACCAAAACCAACTTTTAGCTTTAGACAATGGTGGCAGAATTCATACCAAGTGCAACCATATTTTTAAAAACAATACAACAAGCTTAATCTGGTCAGGTTTGTTCCAGCTCAACCTCCAGAAATTTGACCCCAGATGAACTTTTAAGTTTACCATCAAGAACTACAATAAAAAATACAAAAACGCTTGCCCAGTATACAGAAATTGACATGATGAATTTAAGAATATTGTATATATTTCACGATACAATGCAATGCATGTATGCATGATCAACTGAACATGGCATTGTACAATGCACACATTATTCACATGCTCACTGGGATCACAAGAGGTTATTTGGTGGTCTTGGATCATTGCTCCACACCATTCATTGCATGACACTTGTCATGTTGTCTCCCAAACCCAAACACAAAAGTATTGGGTCCCACTGTTTTAACCAATAAAACTCAAGTTGGGGCACCATGTGGATTTTCCCCAAGACCACCATATAATTTTCCTTGGGATCACTGACACTCACGGAAGTTTTTCAGTACAAGAATTATTTCTACTACTTGTATGGGCTCAACTTTGTGTCTGATCCCACAATTTAATTTCAGAATTCTCTGGCTGGACTTGTAACTTAATAGGAGCAGTCCATTATAAACTTTCAAGGGAAGTTGGGGAACTCCATGCTGTCACCCTGTCGTTACTAAATTACAATCTTTCAAGATTAGATCTCCTTCTAAACTTTGAAAAATCCAGAGATTGCATATCTTACACCCGCCAATGATGAGCCACATAGGGTGCATGTGAAACTTCTATTAAAACAATTCCTTAAAAATTTATTTGGAAAGCTTCCATAATTTATGTTTTCTTATTTTCTTTTCTTTTTCTGATAAGTTAATCCATAATTTATGTATTCCAACCAGTTGTGATTGCTTTGTAAAATTCCCAAAATAAACTATAGTAAAGATAACAGCACAAGCAAGTTAAACACGTAGCTAAGTAGTTTCAGGAAAAAATAATGGGAGTGTTATTCACACTCCTCTTTTATCTTCCCTCACTCCATTTTTTGTTTTTATTATCCAAATTTCCAATTTTACCCTTCAATCATATCTTGTGCCAAGTCAAAATCGATAAAGAGGAGCGTGAAATGATTGAAGAGCAAAATTGTCCTTTTTTTTGTTTATTAATTTATAAAGAACGGAACTGCACTTAATATTGATTGCAAACTTACCCACAACATCTTCAGAAGGAACTTCAGCTTCATTTAAAATGGTAACAATCTTCTTCACTTCCTCAATCGTTCCATTCTACATCAATTGCAAACTGTAGGTGAATTTATACTATATGAAAAACTAAATAATTCAATTGTCTTGTAAATGAGCAATACCACCTAGTATAAAGCACGTATTAAGCTGTGCAAAATCCACACTAATGTGAACTTCTGAGTGTGCCCAATAAGTTACATTTTTAAGATTGTATTGGGTGGTGAGACCCAGAAGGTCAGAACCACAATCTACTACATGCTAAAAAGGTTGTGGCTCTATTGTATTGTGTTGGGTTCTATTATTCAGTGTTGTATCCTACAAATTCAATCTAAGTCTTCATTGTCACCCCTTAGATAAATTAAGTCACCAACTCTTCTTTACATAGTAAACTGGCATTATTAATAAACCCAAAACTAAGTACATTAATCAGTGTTCAAGCCTCCAAATCCTTAAAAGTTAAAACATAAATGAATAAGAAAACCTAATCCAAAGTAACAATTGCAAAATCCAAAAAAATAATAATAATTATAAGAGATGAAATCAGAGGCATACGCATTTCCAGTTGCCGCCGACGAAGAACTTTCTACCCATTTTCGTTTGAATAATCAAAGCTACGAGAATAGATCGCCAACAAACACCAGTCTAAGATTGACTTCAAAGAGGGAACTTTCTAGCGCGAAAGAGAGAGAAAGCGAGGCGGCAACGGTTTCCGTATAAAATGTCCATATTACCCCTGTGTTCTTGCAAGACAAGAAAATAGTAGGGTAAATTACAAGCATCTCTCTCGGTTTAGTTAAAATATAAATCACCTCTTATTGTTTGAAAAATTATAAATACTCTCTTGTCAGAACTTTTTATTTAATAGAATTAATTTTAATTGTTCATATATACAATAATAAAATTATTTAAATTATTAATTAAAATAAAATTTTAATATTATTAAAAACTGTTAATTAACTTGATGATTTATTAATAAAAAGACCTATTTGTTGTGAAATTATAAACTTTAAGGGACATAATATAATTTATAGAACCACATGAATAATTTGTAATTTAAATAAATCTCAAAGAATGTGTTTATAATTTATCCAAAATAGTAATAAGGCCAAGGTTGTCTTTTTATTTACTTACACTTTGTTGCTTTAAATAATGCTTGTTTCGCATATTACATTTGGATTAAAATAGACCAAAAAATTAATAAAATAAAATTCCACATCCAAATTATAATTATTTTATTTTTTCTCATACAAAAATTAAAAAAATCAAAAAGTCTATCTCAAACGAGGTCTTTTAGCCCCAAGTTAAAATAGCTAAAAAGTTAAAAAGTCAACCCATATCTCAAACGAACCCATAAGTAAATGGGGGTTTTTAGTAAGAAACCCTATGAGAGTTTTAATATCTCATACTAATTTTTTTAATTTTCTTAATTTTAAATAATTAAAAAATCTCTATTAGTTAGGTTAGATTTAACTTTTTTACAGTCTCACATTGAATAAATAAATAAATAAATTGTTTATATACTCTTATTTAATATTTTAAAAAATTAGTCTAAAGTCACAGTCTAATTTTTAGTAATAGAAAAAATCGACAATATTATTTTGTGATGTCTAAGGTCTCTTAACCCAACACCCATATATCACAGAGAAATTTGACATACCAGATAGCTGCTCTCCCCCCACGCCTCTCTTTTTTTTTCTCTCTCTCTCTCTCTACAACACTTTCTATCTCTCTACACAGACTATGTTGATCCTCTCTTCCTCGCCTCACACATATGTCTTCTCTACTACAACTAGCGTTTCTTCGTCATCTTCAATCTTCTCGTCTTCCAAGCTTAGCTTGATCTCTGCCTCTTCGATCGAGTGTTCACAAGGTTTCGTGCTTCATGCTTTGCTACTCTTCAAAGGCTAAAGGAATGGTGGAGATGGTGCATGACAAGGAATCTGCGGTGGCTATCGCCTCATCCAGCTCTACGGCGGACCTCGACCAAAAATAATTGATGGGTATGTGAAGAATCGTTGTTAAAGTTGCACAGATTGTTACGGGTGAGTTTAAGATAGATTGTTATAAGTGAGTTTAATTGTTACATGTAAGATAGATTCGTAATGGGTAAAGAATAAATTGAGCTAAGAGGCTTGGAAAAGAAAACAGAAGGTATGATTGGACTTTTGAAGCTATAGACTCATATTGACCACAGAAAAATAAAATTGTCTTCATTAGTTTTTTTGGATTTAATTATATGGATGATTCTTTGTTCTTTCATCATACATTTCTCTATAATTAATTAGGTTCCTTTTATCCCTCTGTTTTTCCCCATCCAAACTATTATTTTGATTTTTCTTGTTATTGGCAGAGAAATTTTCTGGTTTGAACCTAGAAAAATTCTTGCGAAAATCAAAGAAATTCTTCTTTCAGTGAGTCTCTCTCTCTCTCTCTCTATATATATATATATATACACACATATATGTATATTGGTTGTTGTTGTTACTTATTTGGGTGATCGATTTGTGTATTGCAAATCGTGATTGGGAAGACAATTCAAAGAAAATCTCTAGACTATAATCCAGAGAATTCTCTTGTCTTCTTAGAATTTCTCTGAAGAGAAATTTTCTGGACGATTCATAGAAATTCTCTAGATATATATTTATATTAGTTATTGTTGTTGCTTATTTGGGTGATCCATTTGTGTATTGTACATCGTGATTAGGAAGGTAAAGAAATTTTCTGGTTAAAACCCAGATAAATTCTTGCAAAAACCAAAGAAATTATTTGGAAATTCAAAGAAAATCTGTAGACTGTAATCTAAAGAAATCAGAGAAAATTATGTACTAAATGAAGTACTTTTCTTTGGCTGGTGATGATAAGGTATTGGAATTCAAGATTGTGAAGAATTTTGAGAAAGAGGTGATTTTTTTGGGAATGAATTCTCTAGGAAGAAATTCCCAGAATTTCTCTAGAGAATGGGAAGTCCAGAGAAAATTTCTCTGAAGAGAATTTTTCTGGGAAGTTCAGAAAAATTCTCTAGATCAAATTTTTTCTGGATCGATATTGAGAGACCTTAGACATTATGAAAGTATTGAGTGTCCTTTATGTTATAAAATCTTAACACTAAGGACCTTAAAAAAAAAATCTCCTTAATATTGTGCATATTTTAGTTCAAAACAGTTTAAATTTTAATAAAATAAAATTAAAAATTTTAATTAATTAATTTTTGTGTAAGTTAGTTGGTCTTTTGACCTAATTGATTAAGTTGAACCATTTTCAATTTGAATGATTCGTTGGTATAATTTTGATTTTAGCGTTTTATCGAAATATATTGGTTAGATTTGTTTGATTCAAAATAAATTGATCTAATTAAAGATTGAAAGGCTGAGATTGCTTGATTAGAAATTAACTTCTCACCCAAGCAATTATTAACTTTTATTTTACAATCTCACATATGAAAAAGAAAAGAAATGTAAGTTGTTTCACTTATATGTGTAAATTAACAATCAGTGTAGAACATTACTTCAAAAATACCTAATAGTTTTTTCTTTAATATTTTTATCTGTAGTTGATTTTGTTTAAAAATATCAATTCAAAAAATATTTACATAAACAAATGTCTATTTAATTTTGTTTGAATTGATTTTTGTTTAAAAAATATTATAAAAATATCTACAGTTATAAAAAAAATATTACATTTAATCTATCTTTTCAAAATTATTAAAAATGCATAAATATTTATATTTTATTATGAAAAAAAATTACTAATGATTATCAAAATATATTGGTTAGATTTGTTTGATTCAAAATAAACTTAAGATTGACCTAATTAAAAATTAAACGGTTAAGATTGCTTGATTTGAAATAAACTTCCCGCTCAAACAATTGTTAGCTTTTATTTTACATAATTAAACATCGGAAAAAGAAGGAAAAAGTGAGTTATTTCATTTATATAAAGTAAATCCTATGCTCATATTTAATATTATAATATTGTGCATGTTTCAGCTGAAGACAGTTTAAATTTTAAAATAAAATAAAATTTAAAAATTTTAATTAATTAATTTGTGTAAGTTGGTTGGTTTTTTGACCGATTTTAGCGTTTTATCAATATATATTGTTTTATTTCTAAAATGTATGTTTAAATTTTATAACAAACTTTAATATAGAATAAACAAAAACCAAAAAAATTATAAAACGAAATGTATGTTCATTTCATCCTAAATATAATTTTTTAAATTTATTCTATATATACATATTTATCTTTACCAATTAAATTATGATATCTATTTCTTATTGTGAACTTAGAATATACAATTAATGACATAACAACTGCAATATATATTCTAATAAAATGGTTAAAATTTAATTTATTTTAAGTTATTTTCTATACTTTTTAAATAAATTTTATGTTGTTATTTGATTTTTTTTTTTTAAATTTGTTTAGCTTGTGCGTAGCATGGGTTCATATGCTAGTCCAAATAAATAAGAATAGGGACATTTTATTCATAAAATTTTCTTCACTTATTTATATTTCACTTTAGTTTGGAAATTATTTATTTATGTTCCAATAAGTCTTATAGGTGACATAGTTACTAAAATACCTTAATAATAATATTTACATTGACATTGTAAATGTTCACACTATTAATGTGAACATTCATACGTCAATATGAACATTCACACTATCAAATATGAATGTTTATATCACCAAATTGCTAAACATTCAAAAAATATTTACAAGGGTAAAACTATCCATAAAATACCTTAAATATGAGAATTAAGATTTGGTAGATCAAAAGTCTAAATAATAGGACTTATGGATTAATTGGGGTACAAATGCTTGAAAAAATGATTATTTAATAAAGAGACTTATGTGTAAAGCCCTAAGGCCCCGTTTGTTTGGGGTTATAGAGAGGGGATTGGGTTTGGTAGTGAGGAGGAGATTGGGAATAGGGTGTTTGTTTTGAGAGATAGGGAGAGGATTAGTAATCCCTTGATATTAGTAAGGAGGAGGAAGGGGGATTGGTAAGGAGGAGGTAGAGATGGTATTAGAAAAATAGTAAGGGGATTAGAAATTTTTTTATTTTTTATATATTGGGAATTTTTTTTTTAAATATAATGTTTAACTTTTTATATTTTTTTATTTGTTTTATTATTTTATATAAAAATAATTTAACAATTCTTCACTATTAATCCCCTCACTATCAATCCCCTCACTATTAATCCCCACACTAACAATCCCCTCACTATGAATCCCCTCCATGCTATCTCTGAAACCAAACGGGGCCAGAGCATCCCTATCAGTTCCCTTATAATAGCAAAAAGCTATTATAAGGGTTAATTATTCAGAAATTCTTTCCTAACAGATCCTTTATACCATCCCTTAAATTTAGGATTGCTACAGTGGCTCCTTATTTGTAGGGTGACACTGTAGCTCCTTTTATATCTGATAAATTCTTATTTTATTTCGTTGAAGGTGTGAAGGAGAAGTCCCCTAGATGTCCCCCTAGACGTCCCCTTGGACATCCGTGCCAGATGTCTGTGAGTGCCGTGTAGCTGAAGAAGAAAAAATGCTAAAAAATAATTGAACCGATCGTCCACCCGAATGTCCGACCGGTCAATCTCCTGGACGTTCAGCCCCTGCCTTTGCTTTTGCTGCTTTCTTCTATAATTAATTGACTTCAAAAGCAGTGCTATAAAGCCTCCATTTTTGACTTCAAAGGATGTTG